TCTTCAATCTCCTTGCTAAATCTTGTATTCGTTTGCTGACGATACCGCCTGGTAAACCATTGGGTGAGGTAATCAGGCGGGTATGGGAATCTGTCTTTGGGATCTGTATAACAAAAATAGAATTCATTTCTAGCTGATAGATGTCCAAGCTGATATAAGAGAGTATATATTAGTATTATAGAAAGCTTTACATGTGACAGCTATAGAGCACCTTTCATACTCTTGGTATGTCTTTTGGTTAAAAAAAGTTTGAGACGTAAAGCTAGTTTTGGCGGCTTTTGTCGCTTTTTGAGTTTGCAGCATCTTGTAAAATATTCATACAAATAAGGCTTAGAGTTTTAGTACTGACGAAGTTCTAAGCGTTACACGTATCCTACATAATGCACTCAGTTAGCTCGCTAGTTGCATTCTTTTTAGTTGCATTTCAAAAAGTACATATCAATTTTTTTCTGGCCATGGTTTGCGCAAAATTCTAAATTCATTATTACATAATCACATGTTCGTGCAGCAATTACCTTTTGTACACCTGTTTTTTCTTGATTTTTTATTCCAGGTCTGTTATTTTTGCCACTCGTTTCTGTAAATTAAATAATTGTAAAGTAATGGAATTGGTATAAATAAATGAAGAATGTATGTCTGTAAGTTCCCATGATGCGCATTCTCAAAATGTCGTATCACTAATCACCACTAAATTAGAACATATTCTAGGAGCCTTTGGACACAAGACTCAACATTTTTTATAGTTAAAGCAAGTAAACACTCACCTTGTGGTTGAGCATCCAACAAGTTGATGTAATCACGACTTCTTCTGACACCTTTAGGTCTATCCTCGTTGCTTGATGATAATGAATGGCTTACTAACGGACTAGTCTTCTTAGGAGCATGTCTTCCATAAATTTCATGGTGTTTGGTATTCAATCCTGTGCCTTGATTTCCTAAACTCTTTCGCACAGGTTTTGATTGGCTTGATGACGTTGTGACAGCGTCACCATGATACCGCGATGACGTCACATGTTTGCCATTATTACGAGCAACATCATTCTCTGACGACGAAATGTCATCCCCAGATATGCTTGTGGTAGTAACCTCTTTAAGGTTCTTTGAATGTTCGAAATTACTCTTACCAAAGATGTCCTTGCTGTGAGCTTTGTAATTTTGCAGGCGCGCATGAAAATCGCGCGCTCTTTCTGCATATTTTTTCAAATCCTTTCTCTCATAATGAGACTTTTCTTGTGAGGTTTTGTTTTCGCCATCTTCATATATTCTCCTTGATACATAGGGCTTGACTGTCCAAAGCTTGATCATGTCACTAGGCGAATAATTCCTGTAGGAGTTACCACGTGCGTGATTAGTTTCATCTGACGAAATCTCCACCTCTACCTCATCGTCCTCCGTCCCCGCACTATACATTTCCTGATTGCATCTCGTATATTCTGATCCAGCCTCTTTGTCAGAGTACAGATTCTTATGTATTGACTCTTTCACAGAGTCTTCTTTTTCCTTAGAATCGCTTGAATTGCTTGTCTTCAACGCATCAGAACTTAGCCCATTGTTTTTATCGGATTCAGGTCGTGGTTGCTTCTTATTATCAGTTTGAGTGGTATTATTTGTTTTGGGCGATGGTTTTATAGTCTGCTTATCTTTATGTTCTGCTGACAGCCTGAAAAATGGAAAACAATTCTAGAATTCTGAAACTTGTATTATACGAAGGAGAACGAAATGAGGCATGCTAAGTTTCATTCCCTCCAAATTTCTTGGTGTTCACATGGCCGCTGTACATGTACAACGCCGCGCCCTTCATCAGTCATACCCTAACTCGTTCTCGCGAAGAAGGTAGGGTAAAGTAGGATAGAGTAAAACCTGATGGACTGGTTCGAACAACGAACAAGATTTGCGCAAAAACAAATAGCAGCAGTGCTTACCTTTTATTGCTTAAACGCCTTTCCACCGGCTTGTTAGACTTCAGTCTTTCCAGTTGAAGCTTTAGGAAAATATACCGAGATAAAAGTAGAAAAATCAATCACTGTATAATTAAAGCCCGGACACATCGTGTACAAAATTGCATCGTGCGTCCAGCTCTTCAATCTGTTGCGCGCATGCAGTGCTCGGCTGCAGACAGAGAAAAGTATTCTATTTTTTCATACGCGCAACTGTTTTGTGTGGAAACATCGTACGACAGTGCTGGCAACTACTAACTATGGAATTGGGTTTCGTTTCTTAGTTTATAGCTTTATCGTAAGAAAAGTTGCAATTTGTGATATGCCTCCAAACTTTTGTTGCGTCTAACGTTGCTAGAGCATCAGTTGAGGTGTGTCTGAGTAAAATACAGACAAAATAATGGCTGTTAAGCCGGCATGCATACAACATATGTCGGAGAGATGAATAGATGAATAGTTAATAATACAAAACTATTCCAAACCGCTTGCATTTTGGGGTATCGGTAGGGAGGTTCACTGTGCGCCTAAGACCCCCCCCCCCCCCCCCCCCACACACACACACACCCTCCCCCTTCTCCTAATGTGGTAACTAGCATATATATCAATAACTTATGGAATGAACCCGCCAACTAAAAATATTAGATATCAACCCCTGAATTCTGATGTCCGGCTGTAAAATGTATCTGTACCCTCTTCTCTATTCCAAGCATTTACTTTGAATTAATATATGCTTACAATATTTAAACAATATATTAAACTCTTCCTTACCTCTAAGGCATACTTGTCTTTTTTCAATGCACTCACTATTTTCCAGGCATCAGAGACCAGTCTTTCCTATATAAAGAGAAAACAAAGATACCTTTTAATCCTATTTAAAGCTGTGATTACTACTTAAAAACTAGTCAACGAGCTGGGCGAGAGGACTAATTGTTTTAGTCAAATCCAACTAGTCGGTTAAATATTTAGATGCAAACAAGTCTGAAATTAAGGTTAAATTCAATTTTTGTGCTTTCAAAGCCCGCACTTTTCGCTACTAGTAGCCTACAAGTAGCTTATCCAATCAGAACGCAGCATTGATGATAGACCCTATATAGTTCCCCCAAGTTGAATTTGACTAAAAACAAATTTTTTTTTGTTTAAGAGAATACTGAGGGTTGGGAATAGGGATTTTAAGAAAGAACTAGTTATAATTTTTAGGCAGACACTCCATGATTTTACAACGTCAGCTTCAGAGTCTTTTCAGAGCATTTTAATGTCCTGAAAATGTAATGATAGTAAATGATGTAATGAAAATGTAATGGTAGTGATAACAGCAACAGCAGTAGTGGAAGCATAGTAGCATTCCTAGCAATGAAAGTAGCAGTTACAGCAGCACCAGCAGCAGCAGCAGCAGTAGCAGTAGCAGTAGTAGCAGCAGCAGAAGTAGCAGTAGTAGCAGCAGCAGCAGTAGCAGTAGCAGTAGCAGTAGTAGTCTTTTATTGGTTGTCAAACTGGCCGTTTAACGTTACAGCGATTCATAACAAGTATTCTTAAAAATCAATGTCAAAAGCTTTTAGTGCTTGGCACTGAAAAACTATATTAAATCATTGAATCATATCTTTTAACTACCTTTTCCATTGCTAGCAGTTCTGCTGACACCCGGTTTTCCTTTTCAGCCAGAGCTTCCTTCTGAAACTTCGCGACCAAAGAACTTGTCTGCTTCAAGGTATTGATTTCTTCATCACTTAGAAGTTCATGTTCTTCGATTAGGTTTTTGCTTTTCTCAATAGTTTCAACGAGGTCTAAAAAGATAATTACAGAAAGAATAAAAAATGAATTTAGCGATTATAGATTTGATAAGCTTAACGATCGATATTAAAGGTGAGCTTCTTCTTTGGAAATGTCAGTTTTTGTTTTCGTCTTGATTTTTCCTCTATTCGCCTAATACTTAGCTGTTGTTTCTTCAGAGAAAATACTACATTTGATGTCTATAATACCTAAAAAATGATATATAAGTTAGTAAAGGAAAAAGAGCTAAGCAAATTACCTTTGAATGCACTCAACGATGCTGCCATTTTGAATAGCTGAGACTTGCCAAGTTCACGTTTTTACTCGATCTTTTTTATCTAAAATGTGTACTTGCAGTAATAAAATAGAATTTGCAAGACATTTTAGCAGTTTTTTAAACCGTAAAAACTCCAGTTTTTCGCCTACCGTTTTCATGGCCGTTTTGATTTGAAGAATGACGTAATGGATTTTCAATTTCGCGCCATTTTCTGTTTGAGGATAAGCGCGCGCCAGAGCACAGGAAGCCCAAATTTTTGTACGAACCTTTCTAATAAAATTCATAATAATAATAAAATTTATTTTTGATATGTTGGCATATTTTTAGAATTTAGAATACAATATCTAACAATTATGAAGGCGAAGTGCCTATCGGAGAATAATAACCGAAACGAAGTTGAGGTTATTATTCCCGATATTCACTGAGCCTGAGGTGAATATATGTTTTAGTATAAACACACAGGTGATTCTTTCAAAAAAAGGAAAGATAAAAAAGAAGATAAAAAACACATTTTGTTCAGGTAACAGCAACAAAGCGGCTGGCCGCCATTTTGGATTATCGCTGGAGGTGATTATCGTGTGATAATCTGAGTTTCTCGACCAATCAGCGCGCTAAATTTTCAATAATCACCTAAGTATTTATACTAATGTATATTAGTAATAAATACAACGGCATGCCCGTCTATTACGGGTTTTATTGTTATTGCATTGAACTTTCGAGAAGTTGCTCACCATTAGTAAGTTTTTGAATGAAATGTCGTTTAATTTTACATTTAATTCTTTCTTCTTTTTTCAAAAATACCTTTCTTTTAAAAAAGGTTTTGATTTTTATAATTAAAACTGTTGCCATGGCGATGGAATTGAGCCCGCAAGCCAGCTGTCTTTGTCAGTGGTAATCCCACCAAAACACCCAGCAACAGGTGTCACTTTGTGTAGACAAGGCAAAAAACGTTACAAGGTGTTTATTTTCATCTATTTACCTGCAAAATTATCTCATTCAGACAACAAAGCCTACACTTCTTTTTCCAGTTATCAAAAATACAGACTTGGAAAGAGGGGAAAAATTTAAGGTTGGTTTGTTTAAGATTCTAGCTGGTCGCTAAGTCCGCAGTAAAGTCGATCTTGCGGAGATTTTCAAGGTTAGGACCAGTTTGTTTGGCKGTCAGGTCATGAAGTGGGTCACCTGAAGCGGGAAACGGATCGCTCAAGCGAAAGAGCGGGACAAAGGAAGAGATATTCGCTCCAGTAAATGTCATGGATTAACTCCAGTTAAGGTAACTAATTCTGAAGCAAGCATTTTTAAATATTTAAATATATCAATAAATGAAAGCGTATGACTTGGACGGACAACACCTTAACTAATGTGTTTATCCCGTTTATCGTATATTGCCTATTTATTGTGCAAACACTTGGTATAACACTAAAATATGAATGATACTTATATTCTGAACTTTTTAATACAACTGCATTGGAATGATAAGGGGAAAAAGGAACGTCAAGTTTATAAAACATAAACTCATAAAACATAAGCTTTATGAACAGTCAAGCAAAGACTACCCTAAATGTCAAACAACGCTAATAAAACTATAATTTCAATAGTAAAATTAGCACTGATGTTATCGCAAAGAAAAGTCAGTTTTCTGACAGCATGATATAACTGAAGTGTCGCCCTAGGAAAATCAGCACGTTCTAGCTAGCCTGGTGCGCTAACCGTGAAGAAAATTTGAAAACTTTCAAGCTTGTACTTCCATTTTCTTTCGCTTGCTACCTCTTTCCCTTCGTTCCTTTCCGCTCTTTTTCTCGTCCAAATGGCTCATCTTTCCTTTAATTTCCAATCCACTGAATTTTCCATTCGATTTTCTTTATATTTTCTTTTCTCGATATCCTTTTTTTTCTTTTCCTTTCCTTTTCCATTCCTATATGTTATCCTTTTTTGCTTTGTCTTTTTATTATTATTATTTGCCGCTTCTCAGACATTAATAAGTTTTTGTGAAGGGATTTTGATAGACTTATCAGTCTTTCAAAGATAAAATCGTCGGTAAGCCTAACAAGAAGAAGTTTACCAAAATCTTAAAATCAAGAGGCGGTTTCCGGCGGTGACTAACTGAAATCTGAAACCATTTTGTGGCCTGATAACTGTGAGCCATCTCGAGATAATTATGGAATTTCCTAATCACATTGAATCGTGCTAAGGGTCTGTTAAGTTCTTAGTAACAAAATGAGGTGATAAGTTTCTAGAGGTATGCATGAAGATGATATGTAGATATGTTGATCAGAAGTGCATAAAGTTTTAGGTCTTAGTTTTTAAGTTGACTCTAGCTTCAACATGTCGCACCTAACATACCTAACAGTTGGGTGCAGGTTCTCTGTATCCCGACGAAAGCAACAGTAGGTGAGGTCGTCTATAGCAAGGGATTCAAAAGTTTATATATTAGAAAAGAGCCAATAAGATGACAGCTTTGTGGTCAAACTAATTGTTTTGCGCGAAGGATTTGACAATCTTTGCAAGGAGAGGATTTCAAGGCACGCAAGATCAGTTTAATCAGTACGCTTAGCGCAGAGATCGAAATGATTACTATTCAGTAGATACGTGCATCTGCACATTTCGTTTGCATTAAAAATGCTAATGGTCCTAATGCAATAGAAAACCATTTTAGTATCACAAATATTTGAAGGAGCTAGGAAAAAAAAGCTAAGGCCAAAATCCATAACTTATGGACTTCTCTACTACGATTCGCACGTTGTTGAGAATTCCTATCATTCTCACTCTATGACGTATCTGTGTGGCTTTTACGAGATTATATGAAAAAAGAGTGCCGAAAATCCCCATCACGTGATACTTTGATCCAATCGCTAACCCTCTAAGTTCTTTAGCATCCGGTGCGTCAATCATAACATAATCATATTCAACGCCACTGGCCACGAGCTCCGACTATAACCAACTCTTCGCGACCTTGAGTTCTTAAAGTCAGTTCTTAGAGTTGTTCTACGATCTTACACCTATTGGAATTGGTAAGTCATAAAAATCTTTCTCATTCCTTAAGCTCGGTATTACCTCCAATGTGGCTGTGACGATTGGATTGAGAGACAGACGAAGAACGCAGTGAAATATTAATATTCTCGTGTCGTATTTTTTAACCACAAACTGATAAATCAAATTTCATCAAGACAATTAGTAGTGATCTAGTTGTTGACAAAACTCAACGTGACCTTTTCAGTCTTGCTGTGCGCAGCGGTAAAAATATGGCAATACGTTAAAAAAAATCAACACAGACCATTTATTTTTATGCATAACCATTAGTAAAATCGATGAAGTCGAGATGATGGAAATAAGATGGCGAAAATAAGATACGCTGCAAGTCAGGCATCCAACCTTTTGAACACACTTCCATGGTATCGAAATTTCATGGATATATTTTGGAAGTCGCCACTATTTTCAAATGATTTGAAGAGCGCACATTTTTTTCCAGAAAAGATAAYTACCTTATAGTTCAATACACGTGGGGTGAGTTAGTGATATTGACTCAACGTATTGGTTTCCGGCCCAGTTCGGGTTTTCACATCATCAACTCACACTGGGCGCGCGCCAGTTTTTCTTCATCAGGGCGGACGACCTTTGAATCAGTTTACGAGATTAATTAATTATTTCCACCGAAATAGAAAGGTTTTCTTCGGGTTTTCTTGTCATATCGGTATCATGATCTGTGCTACCCTAATGTCTTGTCAGGATTAGCCGAACAGTATCACCTTCAAAGCCTTTACCGATATATTCCCCAGACATGCATAGTATGGGGAGCTAAGGTCTACTGTACGGGGTATATCTCGTGTGGTCGTCGACGTGTGATGCATGCAGTGAAGTATGTTTGAGGAGACTGGTTTGGTAAACAGCTCATGGGAGTAAAGTCAAGCTGACGACTGCTATTAAATCCAGAATTGCATTTTTCATTCGTGGCTACTATGTAAGATTCGTAATGCCTTTTTATAATGAATGGAGAAAAAAACGAGAGATGAAAGAGAAAGATTCAAACTATTTTTATTATCATATTCAGTCGTGAGCAAGATCTCGATGTTGCTGTACTCAAATCGCTCTGATCCGATATCGAGATATTTCTCTTTTTTTAGACATTATGTCCCATTATACCAAAAACAAATCCATTTAAGGGCCTGATAAGGTTATCTCTGCTATCGCACAATTTTACTAGACAACTTGTAAAAGTCGCTTTGCGTAACAGTAATAATCTATGAGGCGCAGGCAAAGCTAGAGAGAGAGAAAACACACACAGAGCATTTAATCTAGTTACATGTGTGTAACAGATGTTATAAAATGTGCATTGCATTTTTTACACGCAAACAAATTGGACTGTCCGAATTAAAGACGTAGGGATGGTGGTTTATCTCAAATAGCTTACTGATAAAGAATTCCACAAATAACACGTAGATGTTCATAGGGTGCGCTCTTCTTCGCCTAGTCATAACATAAAGCTGAATGCTATGAAGTTTCTTTTTTATATTCATTCATTTCTCTGTGTTTATATCACAGTACAGAGAAATGCGTGCGCGTTTTAAATTCCTTATATTTAATATAATTTGGAAATATTACTAGAGTAGTTCTCTAGTGGCTGAAAAATAAGACGCACACGGTCACGGTACGGCATTGAAGATCCATTGAACCATTGAACCAATCACAGTGAGTGCACAAAGTTTCTTAACCCAATTAGGACAATCAAAACACGGCGCCATTACGGTCACGGCACTAAGAGTCGGTACTGTTGTTGTTTTAATGCTAAATCTGCTCCGCTAAATCTGCTCCTCTAATTTATCATTTTTAGCCTGAACGTCGAATGACGCGTAATTATTTTCTCGAAGAGAAAATGAACTAAGAGAAGGAATCTCTGGTATTCATGCTTGTAACCATCATAAGTACCGTGTGATACTTGTTTTAGAGTCACATTTGCCATCGTTCGTTTTTTAGCACGCGCAAAATGCGAAAAAAGGTTTTCTTGAAAAATACATGGAAACATGAGCAAACAGGGCAGACCGCGCGCAGTATGCGCTTGCAGAAAAATAAACGATCAAATGATTGATTCTAAAAATAGCATCTAAGAGTGTAAATGATGGGGCGCGGGGATTCCTTAATTCTCCTAGTTCATTTTCTCTTGTTTTTACACAATGATAGACTCTAATTTGAATTTTTCTTTTTTAAACAGAGCTACAGTGCGAGAGCCAAGAGAAAGAAATTGGCTTCAGAGATGGAAGCTAACCAATGGCATGGCGTTGTCTTCACAATCTTCGTCTTTTATTTCCTTCCTTTGTGTACAGTCAAGGTCCAATCAGAATCGGTTTTGCCCATCAAATTTGTCCACCATAACAACACGGAGATGGATGCTATATTAGACGCCCTTGCTTCTAAGTTTCCCAACATAACGCGTCTGTATTCTATAGGCAAGACATACCAAGGAAAAAAGCTTCGAGTCCTCGAAATTACCAAAAATCCAGGCAAGCACATTGCTGGTAAACCGGAATTTAAGTACATAGGAAATATGCATGGAAACGAAGTTGTTGGACGCGAGCTGCTGCTACTTTTAGCAGAACATCTGTGTGAGGGCTATGGAAGGTTACCGGGCATCACTCAAATGTTAGATACCACAAGAATACATGTGCTACCGAGTATGAACCCTGACGGATGGGACAGTGCTACTGAAGGCGACTGCACTAGCGTCATAGGGCGGTTCAATTCAAATGGCGTAGATCTAAACCGGAATTTTCCAGATCCTTATGACGAGCGACTAAACCCCTTACAACCTGAAACCAAAGCTGTCATGAACTGGATCAAATCAGAGCCGTTTGTTCTGTCGGCGAACCTCCATGGAGGCACTCTAGTCGCAAATTACCCATACGATAACATTCCCCCGGAGCTTAAGATGTCGACCGTGCGCGTTTATTACGGATCACCGGATGATGACGTGTTTGTAAAGATGTCTAAAGCCTACTCGTATGAGCACCCTACCATGCACAAAGGCGTGCCWAAGTGCTCGATACATCATACTGAGAACTTTAAGGATGGAATCACAAATGGTGCTGCGTGGTACCCGATATCGGGAGGGATGCAGGATTATAACTATTATTTCAGGTTAGTCTAGTCTGCGGCGCTAAGGTTTCTATGCGACATCCTAGTAATATCTAATGTTTTGGTATATTTTAATCAATTGATCACGAAATCCGATTTCGTATGAACAGAAAAATTCACGGTATTGGTTAAGGACATGTAATTTGGTGTTGCTAAGACTAAGTAAAGTAAATTTTAAATGAGTGTACGGGCGTACTGTGCCGTTACCGTGCCGTGACCAAGCATTTCCAAAGGATGCGCAATGCCTGATAGCTGCAAAAGACTTTTTAAAATTTCAAATTGGGTCATCGGAAACCTCTTTTCGGCCAATCCGCTCCACTCTCCATCACCCTCGCCTTCTGCGGTCTTAGAGCAATGATTCTTATCTATTTATTCTATATTTTTCAGTAACTGTTTCGAAATTACACTCGAGCTTGGATGCTGTAAATTCCCTCCAGCTCGTTACTTAAGGGCGTACTGGTACGCAAATCGAAGGGCCCTTCTCACGTACATCGATTTGGTGCACACCATGGGAATAAGGGGCTTCGTATTGGACGAAGATGGCAATCCTATTCCAGGTGCAAAGATAATTGTTGGAGATCGTACCAAGAAAATCAAGACTTGGAAAGATGGTGATTTCTGGAGGCTTGTCAAGGAGGGGACATATGTGGTCAAAGCAAGGAAGCATGGATATAAAAACTCAAGAAAGATCATCAAAGTCTACGGTAACGTCAGCACGTTTGTTAACTTCACACTGGTGAAGAAAACCAAGGCAATAAAGACTCATGATCTTGATCTTAGTTCAGTTCTGTACGAAGCTGGTAAAAATCTTTCGTTTCACGCGAATAAGTACAAGACGAAGAGACTTAGGTTGTCAGTGGTTGACGGTGCAGGACACTGCGTTTGTTCTTGTTTTGCTTTGAGCTTGGCTATGCTGGTGGTGCCTTTCGTTGTCAATGTCTATCAGTAGACCTTATACTTTAATACTATACAATAGTCTACTTTCACAGTTGCCTGCGCCATCTTGAAAGGTAATCAAGGCTTTGCATCGAAGCGAGACGAACGGTGAACTTGCAATGGTAGAGACCTTTCTTTAATACCTTGGACAATTATTCACGTCTCTTTCATTCCAAGCTCACCATTCGTCTCGCTTCGATGCAAAGGAACGGCTACATTTCAAGATGGCGCAGGGAACTGTGAAGGACTATCGCTAAAATAAATAGAAAAAATCATCATTAATTCTAAAGCGCTTGAATGCAAGGCCACGCGTGGTGGAATTTATTGTTCCAGTTTACATAGCTGCCGCGTGATAAAAGTCAATGGTACTACCCATAGAAAACCAAAGTGCGCTGTCTTAATATTGTACATATCATATATCCGTTAAAAAAATTGTAAGAAATTGCACAACTTAGTAAGACCTCGGTAGACCGTAGACCTACAAAACTTTGCACTAATTTGTACAATTTCGTTAGTTAAGTTTTTCACGAATATATGGTAAAAACTCTAGGAAAAACAAGAGACTAACCAAGCCAATGAGAAGGAAAATAGAGAAATAAAAATAATGGAAAATTCTTTCATACTTTCCAACTCAACCATGTATATATATATATCTATATTACGTTTCTCGACAAAGGACACTTAGTCCGCAATGACATGTTGGGCCACGCCCAATCGTGGGATAAAATTTTATGTAAGAGTTTTTTTATAATTTAAAAAGTCACTATTACCAGTTATATTTGATCAACGTGATTTTTAAAAATAAAATAAAATAATCAATGTATATTACAGGGAAATTTTGTACGACTGCGAAAAGTACGGACGTCCCGTACCGTGTTCAAGCATTTTGGTTGGATAAGCAGTGATCTCGCGGATCTGATTGGTCCAATGATTGTTGTCAAATCTGTGCCGCTATGACCAATAAAGTTGTCTTTAATTAATACCTTAATTTTCGTACTGTATATTCCCAAGAGTAACACACTCACGAAAAATAAAAACTCAAAGAAATGACACCAGGACTAAAAGGAAAACATTATGCCCCAAATGAAAGGGTACATCATTACTGAATTCATAAATAATTAATGAGCATTTGGGCCAATAAAGAAAAATTATTCCATCACGTGCATGCTATTTAATACCTGATAATATCTCAACATGGATATCTTTATATAAATATTTTGAAATCTTTATAAAGGACCAAAAGAGTACAAGAGCATTTCACGAATAAGGACTCTAAATGCTCATTAAGTATTCATCAATTTTGAAGCTGTTCAATAAACTCGCAGATCGTGTTTTATCAGGTCTAAAACCTGATAAAAAATCTAATGAAACATTAAATGGGACATTAAGTGTGAGTAAAATAGTTGATTATGAACAAGGTTTTGAGGTAGCAGTGAGTGACACATTTGGAATGATGGACAAAACTCCTTAACTTTAAGATTATGTATGCAAGGCTGGATAGGAAGTTTATTTTATTGTTAACCGAGCAGAACTCTTATATCCACAGGCAGCCCAACATCTCAAACGAATGTACCACAGGTAATCCAACTTGAAACTTAGGTGATGGAAAACAAATAAATTTAATACTGTGTGGACATCACATGAAAGAACCCTTTYGCCTGCCTCCATTCATTCTTATACTAATGAAATATGTGGCAAGTGCTGGGAAACTTGGTTCCAGTCATCTGAATGGCTGAAACAGGAGGTCTAGTACCTAGAAAAACATTTGCCTCTAATGAGGAAATAAAAAATCAATAGCTATATTATTGATGAAGATTTCACTTCTTTTTACTTCGTCTAGAATTCTTCACCACCTCATTTGGGTTTCGTCTGTTCCAATTTCTTTCTTTTACATGAAAGCCGTGCTGAACAGCTCGGCTGTTGATGTCATGACTTGAGAATGGGGAGGACCTTGCCACAAAATCAGGGTCCATGGCATCAACTTTGTCTCGTTTGGATGGAAGTCGGCGTTGACCTCCTGGCTGATCTTCAACAAGGACTGGATTGTCAGCAAATCTACCCCCTTGGGGGAGTGGCAAGGGATGCTATAAAGAAAAATGCAAGTGTTATTTTCTGAATTTTGCTCTTATGAAGACAGCAAACAATAGCCATGCAGTCAGTTTGAACCCTGGCTTGCTGCTTTAAAACATTTAAAAAAGGTTATAACATTTTCTGCCTTACATACTTAAAAAATTGTAACATACAGTACAGTATAAGAATTACTTTCTACCAACATAGCAGTAGTCTTTTATTCTATTATCTATATAAATAATGAAAATAAATACAATTATAGCTTGTAGTAACTTACTTTTTTGCCTCTGATATTGAAGGGTCTTTTTCTATTTGACATGTTATAATGTGTGACGCCATTTTCATCTATCGTCATAGTAACACGCTTTAATGTTTTATTTCCACACCAAGGACAAAACACCTTCTGTAGCTGATGCGTGACTCTGTAACAATAATGATCAAGAGTATGTCATATGAGGATAATACACAATAATGAACATGGTATATTATCATTGAGCACTAATAACCTTTTTATTTCAATCAAATTTCCCTATTTCTAATGCTTTGAAAATGTGTAACAGAATTGCTTGACAGAATTTGATGCACAATAAATATAAAACCAAACATCGATAAAAAAATTATTTTGGTAAGACTTTTCTTAAAATGCTATAAACCAAATGTTTGACAAAAAGTTTCATGGGTTGAATACTTTGCATTTCAGTTTTTTGATGACGTGAGGTTAAAACCAAGAATATTTGATTTGGAATTAGCTTAGTGTACTTGCTCTTGAATATTTAATGAAAATTGTGCTC